TAATGGTACGAGTCAAATGAAATACCTAGGAAGGTAACGCAACAGTGAAAACAATAATTACCTGATCTATCCCAGGCCCCAATTACTAATGGTATCTAAAATAAAATGAGACATACCCTTGCGTACAGGCTCGCTAACTCCCTTTCCTGTTATGCAAGCTGCGATGCAAGACGGACGCAGCCCAAGCAGTTGAGCACCTCTCCTTGGGAACACACACGGTCCCTGCGCTATCATTTGCGGTGGCTGCTCCGACCGGCAGCTCCAAGTGAAACCACCTTGGGGAACCCCTGTTTCGGCACCGAGGCGGCATTCACCCCCGTAACCTGCGAGAAAAGCCCTCACCATCGCCGCACACAAACAACTCAAACACAGCGCACTGCTCTTCACATGGCTCAGGCCAAATTAGTGACGAGCCCTTATCGGGTGCTGCCCCAGCATTCTTCACTGCACGAGCGTCAGCAAGGGACGGGGAAGGAAACACAGGTTTTCTGGCATTTCTGCTTATATTTCCTGCTGAAATTACTGTTTACCAGGGCCAACATTTCCACTGTTTCCCAATTTGCAAGCACAACTCCTTGCAGAGGAAGAAGGAAGAGGGAATCTCATTTGGGGAAAAAAAAAAATAAAATAAAAATTTGCGACACCAGCTTGGTCTCTCAGGTGACATGGGCTGAGGTCAAAGCACGCACACATAATCCAACACTTGTAAAGCTGTTTGCTCTACCTCATTATGGCAGGGACGTGCTTGTGGCTGCCTAGTACAAAGACTACAAGGTGAAAGAGCCGGGAGACTGAAACCTCCCCCAGCACCAATTTAACAAAAAGATGCGAAAGCAAAGCAATCGGAATTGGTTTCCGAAATACCTTTTTCTATCGGTCAATTTTATGATTAACTTGTTCCCACACACTAAGCCTTCTTTGGCTTTCGGCAACTTGTCTGTACGGCACCTGTATGGCAAAATACGGCACGTAGATTGCAAAGGAGAAATTCAGAGCAACTAAGATTTCCCCCCATTGCCCCCTCCTCCACCAAGAAGCCGCCTTCCCGTTTAATCCTTCCCAGTCTCCCTGTAGCCTGGGTCAAGCATCTTTTGCGCAACCAATTTGACTTTTGCTTCCAAATCTCGCCGAATTCCTCTTTCCTCTACTAGAGCACGGAGCGCAGTCACAGGACCAGCACGGAGGGGGTGCGAAACCCAAGTTACGCTTTACACCTCTCACTATCCTAAGGTTTAAACAACCACTTTGTACACAATAAAGTAACGTGTTATTATTCATCTGCCAAAAAAGAAGTGCTGGCTTAAAAAGTATGACATGTAAGTGTGGCATGAGATAACACCAAAATAAATAAATAAAATGAAGGTGGGGGAGCGAAGAAGATCATGGAAAAGCCAGCAGCTTTGACACCTCCCCAGATCTGTATTTTTTATTTTGATGGTGTTTCTCATTACTTATGAGCCAAAACTGTTTCGGTTCAACTGCACTACCTCATGTCTTCACTGTGTTATGTCAGCAACAGTTTCTCTTGCTATTTAAAGTGAAGGGCCGTGGTAAGCGTAACATCAGTTTTTGCAAGTTTCTGCTAGAAAACAGCAAGGAGAGACACCTGGGACGCAAAGAGTTATGGATAGTCCCTGCCCGCTTTGTTTGTGTCTGTCTGTTTACACAACCCCCATTGCTTGAAATAACAAATCCCTCACCAGAAGGATAGAAAGAAGCACAGGAGCAGCCCAGCAAAGGGAACAAAGACAACCCCAAAAGGAGCAGCTCCAAACAGTAAAGCCAAGCAACCCTGAAATACGGAAACAGCATTTAAGAGCCAGGAACCCAGCAGATTAAAAAATGGGATTAGGGTAATTGAGATTATTCAATTCAGCTTTCTGAACGTAGGCAGGATTAATTATTAGAAGGCAACTCGATTCCGAAGCATTTGAAGTTTCTCATTTTGCTTTCAGCTCACCTCATTTCATGGCAGATCAAAATTCAAGCAAGACCTAGGAACTATGGAGGCCACTAGCACAGATCAGAGGAGTTAGAATTCCCTCACATTGAGGATCCTGAATCCTAGGAGAGAAACGCTGTGAAATGCACTTGGATTGATGCATTTCTCCTGCTGAAGGTGCTCGCGAGGCTCGTACAGACGCTCGTTCCTCAGATACATCCCTGGTGTTCACATTTTATTTTTTTTTAATAGGACAAACTGCCCCATAAAGAAACGCTTCACAGCCTGAGTCAGCTCCTGCTAATTGGAGGTTTTGAAGACTCCCTGAGGAAGCTGGAGAGGATGGTGATTTTTTGTTTGGTGGTGGTGTTTTTGTGTAAGGTTGAAGAGGAGACTGCATGTATTGCTCACAGTCTGGAAAAAAAGCAACTATGATTATTTAAGCCTGACAACGTGGCTCAACGGAACACAAGACTTCACAGAGCAAGAGATCCCTGCACGGGGAAAGCTTAAAAGCCAGGAGTCTGTTCGTGCTGAAGATGTCTGCAACTTGTCCCACGGTTGGTCTAACACCAAGGCAGCCACTGTTTATATAAAACGCTGCTCCTGATCACAGGCAGGTAGTTTCGTGCCGGATCATCTCTTTCAGCTCTGTGCACGCACCTATGTAAGTGCTAACCACCTCAGAGCGGTGCCGCCCGACCCCGACCACATCCACTCCACTCTGAAAACCAGAAAGCTCAGAGGAGCGCTCTGCCCTGGAAGACGTCGTTTATTTTTTTGATGACGAGTTAGTGAGAGCGGCGGGTTAGTGAAAGCGAGCCTAAGACACGCGGTCACCAGATGACATCCCAGGCCAGAAGAGTGCGGATGAAACAGATGAAAGAAGTGATGAGAACTAGGGCCTTGGGAAGGTAAACAAGCCCTCAAAAAGTAGCGTGCCAGTCAGTCAAAAGCATCGGGAGGTGACGTCCCCTCCTCTTCTCTATTATTTAGTTGCAGTTCATCAGGCATCACCTATTAGGTACGACAGGAAGCAGAGAAACCCCAAATACAAGCCAGGATTGTGATCCGTCAGGGCATGTTCCACATTAAACTGACACCACAGAAAACGAGGAGTCAATCTGGGTGATGTTTTCCCTTTTCATTTGCTTTGCTACAGTAAGTGGTTATTTTCTCTGCGGTGGCCACACCTCCTATAAAGGGACTTATTTAGAATATGCTCGTTTGGCTGGGCATGCCAGAGTTCATTCTTTCATTTAAAAGAAAGAGTTCCATTCTTCCTGGAACGGACAGCTGGCTACGCATACGTACCAGAAACCCATATGCAAGTCAAATTGAAGAAGCTTAGCCCATATTCCATTACCATATTTTATTACTAAAGAAAGAAGAAGTGATTATGAAATCCAATCTAGATTGGATTTTAAAATTACCCAACAACAATCGTTCAGGAATCTGTTCACGCGGCTTAACAAAAGACAATAAACTAAGTCTGAAAACCCAAACCAAACTCCCCCTCAATAATTCACTTGTTATTTAAAGCCTGAAACAGACACAATATACATTAGTCACCACTCTGCATCAAGCTGTTTTTTTCCCCAGGATAAGACTCCAGGCATTCAAAGGCCCCACTTACCACTCCTCAGCCGGGGAAACCACCACGGCAGTCAGCTCCGTGTCTAATCCGGAGGTGATGCAGGGGGCTATGTAGGAGGAGTACTAATCACCAGGCATTCAACCCCGTGCTGCCTCCGTTGATCTTACAATATTCAACAACTCTGAACAGCAGCTTCCAGTCTCAACACGTTTTTGCATAATTGTCCTTATGTCACATTAAATATGAACTGTTCCACTAAAAGGCATGCTCTCATCAGTGAATAGGACTTTTACTTTTGAAGCAGAAACATTACAAATTGTTTTCTAGAAAGCATGGCTGAATTCCTACCCATACTTCCCCTCCGAAAAATACATCTCTCCGTAAGTGTGAACGCACTAACATTTTAGAAGCTCTTCAGACCAAAACGCCCTCACTAGAAAACCATGTCTTTAAAGCAAGAGTTCTAAACTCGTCCCTTCCGGGGTATATAGGTGAGTGGGTCAGAGATAATCAATGCTAGGGCTAATAAAACCATGCCCTCGATTTACTAACCAAAACATATCCAAGAAAACGCGATAATGTTTAAAGGCACTTCTTGCAGCTCAAAAGCAAGCCTTTCTATAATGCACCAACTCTTCCTGTACAAATATAGACTAAAAAAAATTAATCTGGACCTCAAATACTCTTTGAGCATTTTGCTTATTTTCGACTTGTCTGTTTTTGACTATAGGAAGAAAGTAACACGCAATTCCAGCAAAAAACCCCACCCAAACCAAAACTCTTCCCCACTCTTCTTCCACAATGAATCAGGTTAATCTGTTTTGGTACGACCCTGATGAAAAGCTCTCTCAATACTGGAATGAATTCGAGCATTTCAAGACAAAGGCTAAGCAAGCAAAAAAAGGTCGTTGCCATACGAGAAGACGTTTCCCCACAGAAGACTGCTACCAGCGCGTTTTTATTCTTCGCTCTGCTCTGTAACCAGCCACTCCGCAGTAATAAAAAAAAAAGCTCTCAGAAAAAAAAAAAAAAGAAAAAATCTGTGCAGCCAAGAACAGACTAGAACGGTAAAAACAATAACCCTGGATAAAACACGTTACGGGTGCAGCCTTCTCCGAGTTCCCAGGTTTAGTTCAACGCTTTTATCATTTGGATGCTACAGAAACATGGGTGTTGTAACACTGTTTAACCCGAAACCCTTCTAAACAGACATGCTGCTACTTATTTACAGTGGCTGACATGGATTGGATATAGAGGAAGAAGATAATTTCATGCGCAATAGCACAAACCCATTATTTTCTGCACCTTTCTCAACTCCAGGGCCAGTTTCCTGTGGAATTCAACGCTGTTCTCTGTGGAACCAGACACTCTTCAGTTTACCATTAACCAGTATTTTCCCTCGATAGCCTTCCCGTCCCCTCTCTATGAAGGGGGGACACACACACACGGCCACGTCTTTACCATTGCAGGCTCTTTTCCTCCCATGTTGTCCTGGTACACCACACGAGCCGGGCGGTCGAGAGGAGGAACGGGCAGGTATTTTCATCCTCCACAACAGCCTCTTACAGCGATGAAGAGTAAACCCCGCTGCTGCTGCTCTCACTCCCGACACCAACCTCCTCCCCCACTCGGGGAAGACAGCTGTTACAACAATGCGGAGCTGGAAGCAGCCCTGGCTCGGTAGGCTGCTTTGTGCCATATTCTTTGAATAGATCTTATTGTTTACCCTCTGCTCCTTCCGTCCTCTCCATCCCCCACCTCCCCGTAATCAAATTTTTTCCCGGCTACTGCCCAAAAAAAGACGCGCCGGGGCCGCCCTCCCCTCCCCGAGCCGTGTCCCGTGTC